ATCAAATTTATTTTTGTTTTTTCTTTGTCCATTCTGTAGATATATTCGATAACCAAACTTGTTGTCTAAATTTATAATTTTACCAGTAAATCTTATAAGTTTATTAATATGTTGTGTTCTAATTTAGTAAAAGTCAAAAAGAAAGTATTAGCGACACTGTAAAGAGGGTTAAATCAATAAGCCATTAAGAAATAATAGACTATCAAAGTCACCCCAAACGACGGGGTGAGATTGATAACATTTTGGATTAAAAATATATATATTAAGACAAAAAAAAATTAAAAATATTTAATGGAATTATATAAAGGAAAGGTATAATGTTATAACGGGAAAAAAAAAATCAGAAAAAATTGTAATGAACAAGATTTATTTTGCAAAAATGCTCAAAATCCTAACAAAGTCAGCCCGTTCTACGGTAATTGGTTGTTTTCCATGCTCAGGCAACAACTTATTTCTTTTGGCTTAAAATATGTTTCCTGTTGTGCTGAACAGAGGTTCAATCTTAACGGATGAAGGAGGTGCGCACAAAATTTTTATTGTGAACTTTGCCAAATCCCACTTGTTAGTGTCTTTATCGGAGCAGGTGTAATTGTAAACACCCCACCACTTATAAGGACATTCATTTTTTGGTAATGTTGATAGACTAAAGTAAAAGTCATCCATGTTGAATCAAAACTATGAATCAATTTAAAGTTCAAACTAATATTTTAAATCTTTCATCAAGTAAGGAAAAAAGAATACTCATATTCAACTTATAAATAATAAAGAATAAACATTTATAGTTGATAAATAATTATGTTATGCATGGAAAATTAAAAATATTAAATGCAACCGGACCCGTAATTACAGGAAGGGACGGCCTGCCTGTATAAAATTTGTGTCTGCTTGCAGTAATCTTTCCATAATATAAATATAATATAATCAGTGTTTTCATATTTCTGCGAAGCATTTTTATTTATACCCATTTGGTCTAAGAAGTTGTATATGCTTAATTATTTTCTTTTTTGATTTGACCATCACGATCAGAGTCTTTAACAGAACCAACTTCTTTTGCTTGTTGTAAACGATCATTTACAACAAGCAAGCAAATTTTAAATCAAGAGTATTACCGCTTTCATTTAGAGTATCGATACTCCAAAGAAAAGCGGTAGCACCCTTAGTATAAAATTTCCTTAAACATACTATGGTCTGTTTCTTTAAAAAAAATTCGATTGAAACGGTGTTTAAGCATCATTGCAATTTTCAGACGAACATTATCTCTGTATTTATGAAAATGATTTTTAAAATCTGTTTTAAGTTCATCAACAGCAGTTTTAATTCCAGTTGATTTGACCCAAGCATAGTCAAGAAACGGTGTGATCTCTTATGTTTCTGCATTCATACCTTTCGTAGAGCTTACAAAGTGTTTAGTATGCATACAATTATTTCAGTATGCTGCCATTGATTTTCTGTAGATAATCTGCATCTGTAATTATAAAATTATTAATTATTCATATTTTTGAGTGGTGATAAGAAATAATTTTTCTGACGTACGTTTCAAGCGCAAAAAAAATAAATACAAATTACAGTGAAAATAAGTTAGTAAATACAACAAAGGAACAAAATTAAACATAGAACTTAAATAAAATATAAAAAAGCACCCATTAATTTTGATAAACAGACAAACAAACAAAAAATGACCTATCAAAAGCTTTCGACACATCAGATCATTATATTTTACTACAAAAACTTAAATATTATGGAATTAAAGGTACTGCTTTAAAATGTTTTAGAAGGTACTTAACAAAAAGAAAACAATTTGTAATTAGCAACGATGGTTATCAAAATAATTATCTTGATATATATATATATCTATATATATATATATATATATATATATATATATATATATATATATATATATATATATATATATATATATATATATATATATATATATATATATATATATATATATATATATATATAAAAGGTTTGAATTAAGCTTTTAACCATATAAGTATTATGTACGAAGATGATACCAATCTGTTCCTCTCAAGCAGTAATATAAATAAACTCTTTACCACGATGAATAAAGAATTAAAACATATATCAAACTGGTTTAAATGTAATAAGCTAACTTTAAATAATAATAAAACCAAATGGAATCTATTCCATTCGTATACAAAAAAGCGATTTTTATCAACAAACGTTGCCAACAAACACTCAAATATATACATAAATATAAGCATATCCACAAGTGGATATGCTTATATTTATGTATATATGTGAGTGTTTTTCTTATTTTAATGATATTGATAATGGTACTTTTTTAATTGTAATACGATATATAATTGTAATGAGACATTTTAATGTATGCGAAATTTAAAAAAAAAAGATATTTTAGGACTTTCAGATTCTAGTGGAGAGGGGGTGCATACCCCATCCCCCCTCTCCCTCCTCCTTGATCCGTCACTGAATGAAACTTGGGTGAGAAAACTGGATTTTAGACTGAAATAGAGTTTGCATAACAGCTCAAAAGTTTGAAATTCTTTTCTCGACATTTAAACAACTAAGTGATTTAAAAATAGAATGTTTATTATCCCATGTAAACTCTAGGTTTATTAAAAATTAAATTTTACCTTTTAATTTAATTTTCGTTTGAACGCTTTTTATTTAGATTTCCAAAATTTGCTTTCCACTTTTTAAAAATATCGTGTTTATGCGTGGTATTCCTTCTTGGTTTGAAATATGATATTTCACGCACGATAGTTGTGGGCGCGGATCTAGACTAAATAAATAGGATTCTATTGGCAGAAATTTTCTGAGTATAAACTGAAAATTGTTTGTATTTATGTTAAATAAAGATGCTTCGCGAAAACTTAAAATCATTAAAACAAAACATCCTAAGAGTAGGGTAGATAAAACCTTTTTTGGCACAAAAACTTGCATTTTTTATTTATTATTTATAAATTCTGTATATTTATAACTTTAAAAAAATCTTTTTTTACAATATTTCTTAAATGTTTAGTTGGTATAAATTATTTGAAATTATGCTTATCTTTGCTAAATAAAAAGTTATCACACTTGAAAAATGTACAAAATAGGTGGACAAATTTTTTTTTGAAACAGTGTAGCTAGAAGTAATTAGAGTTTATTTAGAGATTAAAAAAACACTTGAAATTTTTTAGAAAAACAATCATGTTGTTGCAAATTATTACGAAAGAAAAGTTTTGGGTTGTTGCAAATTATTACGAAAGTAAAGTTTTGGGTTATGATATATTAAAATAATTTATCATAACGCAAAATTTTTGGAACAAAGAAAGTCTTACATCCAGAAAACAAACATTTGAATACTTGTAAATAATACTTATATAAAATTTTTTATTTGATACCTCAATAAACACCCCCTACCTTTTTATGAATCTCATGACTCAAGAATAATATAATACGTCAATAAAAGTTGATGAAAAGAGGGTTTCATGCATTTACAAAATCCACAAAGAATTGTCTGTAAGAGTACGTTTTCATATATATCTTGATAATTAAAGAATTTAATTAGTTATCTAATGTTATTGATAGATAATTAATTTTGTTGTTAGGGTTCAACTGTCAATGTTATCCTCTATATAGGGTAACATAGGCAGTATTATGTTTTATGCTGTAAATGTTAAAGTGACATTATGAGGGTAACATTTTCATTGGAATTTTGACAAACAAAATAGAGAAAACATTTAAAATATATATTAGGACCAATATAAACTTTGATTTTAAAAATTAGCATTAGACCTATATAAGGTAAAGTGATGTAACATTCACACTTCTTTAAAATATATATATTTTCTCTTGTTGTGACAAAAATGTTAAAGATAAATATTTTTACGTGTTTACCAATGATATTGCTGCCAAAAACTGATTAAAAAACTAATTAGTCATGTAATATTATTGACAGATAATTGATTTTGTTGTTAGCGTGCAACAGAAATCTTGCAGCGTTTTTTCACGAAGAAATTCAGCAAATTTTTTGCTGAATTTCTTCGTGAAAGACTTTTTGGTGTTAGTTTTAATTTCTGAAACAATTAGATAATTTTTTACACCTTCAGTTTCTGATGTTTTGTTCTTACCAGTATTATGCAACATTATTAGGTTTAAGTTTTATTTTCTGCGAGTGTCGGTTTTTAAGATCTGTTGACTTAATGTCTTGGTACATTTTTTTTTTAAGATTAACTCTTTTAATTTAATGATTGCTTTGTTTGATTTCATTTCATATAATTGTGAAAAATTCATTAGATGTAAGCATTCCGCCAACTTTTGCTTGGTTATTGGCCCATGGTGTGACTAAGAATTCCTGTCAATGTTACCCCAAAACTGATGTATGCGTTAAAAAAAAAAAATGTTCCAAAAAATCTTAAATTCTTAGTATTTAGAAACAACATCATAAAAACACCTGTAAAATGATATTATAGTATGGTTTTACTTATTTTATAATTAAAGTTTTTCTGCAACAAAAAAACTAGAACTAAGTTTTATTTAGGCACGCCCTATTGTGTTGTTATTTATACTTACTATTATACAAAATAAAATATTTGTTCATTTAACATCTGGCTTCAGCATATGTTCATTTAACATCTGGCTTCAGCTTATGTTCATTTAGCATCTGGCTTCAGCATATGTTCATTTAACATCTGGCTTCAGCATATGTTCATTTAACATCTGGCTTCAGCATATGTTAAAATAATTTAAACAATAGTCAACGGGCGAGGGGTTAAAACATTTAATCTAACAACGTCAATGTTACCCACATGTCAAAGTACCCCCCCCCCCCCATATTTGTCTTGTTTCTCTCTCTTGCTAGCGAAAAACGAGAGAGGAACAAAACAAATATGACATTTGATAAATTTCGTATTTTTCTTGCTCTGACAAATAAGATTTAATGCTTCTATTTACGATCATAAAATTGTTGACAAAAAATAGCATAAAATAAATATCTAAATGTTATTCAACAAAACAAAATTTTTGAATTGAAAAATATCTTTTTAACATTAATTAATTTACAACAACTTTTATTTGATTCGCAAACAAAGCAATCTTTAAGAAAATACATTGAATTAAAAGGCTATTGTTGTTAAGCAAACAAGGTTTTATAAGGTGAGACGAAAAATACCTGAATCTATAAAAAAACATGAAACAAAAATTGCCTTTTGTTATTTATCATTCGACATCTTTCCTTTCAAATTTTTTCATAGAATGGATTTTTTTATTTTGGATACGACTTTCGTTTTCCTTTATCTTATAACTATTTACACGATCTTTAGTTTCTTCCGTCGGACCTTCTGGAACAAACGAAGCCTTAATAATCTTCTTTTTTATTTTATTGATAGCATCTTCTAGATTATAATGCTGGGAGCGATCAACGTCTGAAGATACTACTATTTCTCCATTTTTATTAACGTTGTTCTATTTGCACAAAAAAAAGGAAACATTTTTAAACCAGTATTTAATTTTTTTACAATTTTACCCTATAAATTTTAACCAAATATAACAAGTTACCTGAAACGTGATCTAGACCAGTGGTCACTAATATGGGGTCCACAAAGCCAACTTTATGTTCCTCAAAAAAATATTGTAACGTTTTGTACAAACATGGAATGCCATGAAATAAATACTTTATTTATATATTTATATTTTTTTTTACAAAGTTTACCAAATATCTACCAGGTGTATACCTATCTACGTAATGAAGTTGCACCAACAGTAAATATCTACTTACAAAGTAATAAATAAGGCGCAGTGAAAAATAAAAATCACCAGTTTGGTAAAAGTTTCGTGTAAAATTTAGAGGGTTCTTTCTCTAGAAAAGAAGGCGACCACTGATCTAGACAAATTGGGTCAGGAGTTGGATTATATATATATATATATATATATATATATATATATATATATATATATATATATATATATATATATATATATATATATATATATATATATATATATATATATATATATATATATACATATATATATATATACACACACACACACACACTATATATATATATATATATATATATATATATATATATATATATATATATATATATATATATATATATATATATATATATATATATATATATGTACATATATATATATATATATATACATATATATATATATATATATATATATATATATATATATATATATATATATATATATATATATATATGTACATATATATATATATATATATATATATATATATATATATATATATATATATATATATATATATATATATATATATATATATATATATATATATATATATATATAAAGAGAGAGAGATAGAGAGAAATACACACACACACATTCACAAACATATACATATATACACACATACATACATACATATGTACATATATATATACACATACTCATACATAAATATACATGTATATACACAGATACCCACAAGCACACACATAGATACAACAAATATAAATAATAAGACGATTTTTTAACAAATATAAATAATACAACAAATATAAATTAGTTTAAATTGCAAGGTAAGGAGATTTAATTCAGGTTACAATAACCATTTCTTTTTATATCTACAAGTGTTTACTATAAATGTACAAGTGTTAGTATTAGGTGTTTATCTTCTGCTAACAAGATCCTGTGAAACTTCTCTCTGAATTTGTGTGTATAAAAGTATCTTTAATGGACTTTGTTTTTTTTGTTCTTATAAGTTTTTGATTTAATACTTTTTGGAGGATTTTATCGCTTTTGAAAGATCTTGTCACGATTATTACCCAATGTTTGAATGTTAAATCAGTAGTCTATTTTCCTAATAGGTTATAATTCCAAAGTGCTGTTCTCAAAGATGGTCTGAATTATTCTGCTGTGGGAAGTTAGAGGGATGCATAGGAGATAAACAAGTGAGACAAAAAAAGATTTAATCATTATATAAAAAATGTTTTCATGACGTGTTTAGGTTTGGCTTTTTCTACTTAAATAAATATTTTATAAAATATTTATTTAAGGGATAATAAATTTTTAGTGGGGTTTGACTCTTCCTAAAACACTTAATCCGTTTTTCACATAATTCAAATAACATCACACTAAAGTAGCTATGGAGGCTAGTAAAACTAGCCTTGAACCAAATTAGTTTTTCTATATAGAATTCTATATAGAAATCTCACCCATTAATACCTAATTATATTTTGTTTTGCTCATTTATAGTTGGCTATTTTTGTTGAGTATTCGTGTATAGTGGTATGAACTTTATGTTGTCACTCACCTTTCTTGTATGCCACTTGTTTCTACAATATATAATAGGAGAACTAGTTTGTATGGACAAGGTAAATAGTTTGTATGGACAAGGTGTGAGTAAGTTGAGAGTTTTTATCTTAGTTGCGCAACAGAAATGATTGATCACAATAATTGTTTACATCAGTGAAGATATAATGTACAATAAAGATATAATTAAATATTCTAAACTCTACTTCTGTTAAGTTTTTAGTACATCCAGGAAAAGTCTCTGCTTTACTTGGTGGCTTGTTCTCCTTAACAATATATATATATCTTATAATATATTAAAGTTTATTCACATTTTTGTATTAAGTTATTACAAAAAATCATAAAGTAAGTATTCTAACCTAGTCATAAGTGTGACGATTTTGTTTTTTTGTCGACTGATTCAATCGCTTTATAATACAGATATTTAATGGATAAAATAATAATTTTATTCACAGTGCTAAAGAAGTCTAATAGAATTTTGTACTAGTTTTGTGCTGATAAACACCAAAAATTATTTGTTGATGGTTCTCAGGTGTATATTAATTTATCATGAATTTTATTGTTCTCTTTGGTCTATGGGTATTTTGATTGTTCTTTCTTTTAATTTTATTGAACTATGTAATTCAAACTAAGTATACTTTTTGAACTATAGGATTCCCTGGAAAGTATTTCTAATCAACCAGATTGGTAAGATTTCTTAACACCTACCCTCTTCTAGGAGAGGGGACAATATACGCTGATCGCTCCTACCTATCTTTTGTGCTGATAAACACCAAAAATTATTTGTTGATGGTTCTCAGGTGTATATTAATTTATCATGAATTTTATTGTTCTCTTTGGTCTATGGGTATTTTGATTGTTCTTTCTTTTAATTTTATTGAACTATGTAATTCAAACTAAGTATACTTTTTGAACTATAGGATTCCCTGGAAAGTATTTCTAATCAACCAGATTGGTAAGATTTCTTAACACCTACCCTCTTCTAGGAGAGGGGACAATATACGCTGATTGCTCCTACCTATCTTATAGGAGGGGACAATATACGCTCATCGCTCCCACCTATCTTATAGGAGAGGGGACAATATAAGCTTATTTATAAAATATTCTGAGTAAATCTGATTATCCAGCATGCAATTTGGATACATTTTAACCATAAGAGAAGTTAAGAAAAATAATTTCCCAATAGTTTATGTGTAAGTATTAGTATTTTTCTTATTTGGAGAGTTGTTCATAGAAACAAATTCTAAAAGAGGCTCACAGTTTATTATTTCGATTTTTAATAGTTTGTGTTTATATTTTAAAGTGCACTAAACATTTCATTTATATTTTATAAGTGCATTAGGCTTATTAAAATGGGGTATAAAATTGATATAAAAATGTCACATATATGAAGCGTTATTTATTTTCTGTGGATTTTCTACTTTACAATTTTATCTTTTATACAAATATTTTTATATTTAAACTTTTATACAAATAACTTTTTTTAAATAATTATTTAGCTTTTATGTTTAAAGGACCATGGTCCTTGATTGTTGCAATTTTCCACTGACAATCAATGATGCTTTGATCTTTAATTAAAGAAAACGTAACAGTTTGCAAAAAATCCTCTTTTGTTGCAATTTTTGCATCAAGACACAGCCTGTTGAACCTAAAGTTCTTTTCTTTTTTCCTCCGGACTTTTGCTTCTGTTTTTAAATTTGAGTTTCTAGTAATAAAAGCTGTTTTCCACACTTTAATTATAAATTTCGGTTTCACCATTGCAAAATTATTTTTATCTATAGTATATACTAGTATATACGTGGTCACACTTTTGTGCTAACAATGAATTTTTTTTTAATTTTTTGTCCTGCATTATAAAATTGATAATATTTTATATAAGCCAAACTCTATACTTGACTGAGGCTATTTTAGGTAACAGCTCTACATTTACATTTTTAGACCTTGTCTACATAAGAACGGGCATCAATAGAAGAACCAGCCTAAATATGATAACAAAATTCTATTCAAGGACAAATAAGAAAATATAGTTAGAGGATGGAATCAATAATAAGCAAATATTGAGCACAATATAAATAACCTTAAAAGGTGCTAACTTTGCTATGGATTTCCATAAGAAATGATTTCCATAAGAGTTTAACTGTGGTTTCCATAAGAGTTTAACTGTGGTTTCTATAAGAGTTTAACAGTGAAAAAAGATTTAAAGTAAAAAACTCAGTGATGTCATTCATTAATTTAGAAGTATAGAAAACATTGTAACAATTAATAATATATAAACAACTGAGTTTTGTTTGTTTTTTTCACCAACCATTGTAAGCCTCGTGCTGTCACAAAAAAGAGACCACATTTATGATTTTCTAAGATCTAAAAGTTATGACTTTTTATTAAGACTGAAGTATATGATTATGATATCAGCAAATAGAGCAACTTTATAAGTTAACTTTATTCAGGAAGATTATTAGTATAGATAAGGAACAACGCAGGACAAAATATGGAGCTTTGTATGAAGTAACTGAACCCCAGAAGTAACTGGAAACAACAAATAGTGTCGTCCATTATGGACAAAACTTTTTCAGATATATCATACAAAGAGAGCTTATGGAGATGACCACCTTAACACCCTAATTTACAATAAAACGTAACTATTAAAATGAATAGCAAATCAGCAGTAGAACAAAAGGATTTAAACCTTTATTGATTGTCAGAGATTATTTTGTTAGACTTAAGATGGTATATTAAAAGTTTTTAGATGTATATTAGAAGTTTTTAAATTCAAATTGTAACTCAAATTTAAATTGTAACTCAAAGACCTTGCTAATAATAGCAAGAGAACTGATTAATTGCTAACAATAGCAAGAGAACTGATTAATTGCTAATAATAATAAGAGAACTGATTAATTGCTAATAATAACAAGAGAACTGATTAATTGCTAATAATAACAAGAGAACTGATTAATTGCTAATAATAACAAGAGAACTGATTAATTGCTAATAGTAACAAGAGAACTGATTAATTGCTAATAATAACAAGAGAACTGATTAATTGCTAATAATAACAAGAGAACTGATTAATTGCTAATAATAACAAGAGAACTGATTAATTGCTAATAATAACAAGAGAACTGATTAATTGCTAATAATAACAAGAGAACTGATTAATTGCTAATAATAACAAGAGAACTGATTAATTGCTAATAATAACGAGAGAACTGATTAATTGCTAATAATAACAAGAGAACTGATTAATTGCTAATAATAACGAGAGAACTGATTAATTGCTAATAATAACAAGAGAACTGATTAAACAATATTTAGAAAAGTCAGAGCAATCTACAAGTTCTTTAAAGATTGAAACAGTGGATTCAAACCAGATTTTACGACAAATAGGTGAATTGAAACATAAGTTTTTTTTTAACATCTTTGCTTCTAACAAGTTATATAAAGATAATATGTTTTCAATAGTTAAAATTTTCACGAGATCAATTTTCGTAACAATTTCATTTTTTTTTTTTTTTTAATTTATTCAAATTAACTTTTTCAAATATTAGAAATTTGTTTTTGTAAAAAATTAAAAAATCTAAACTCCGTTTTAAAAATTTACGAATGTTTTTGTTTTCACTTAATACAATCAATTTTTAATAAAATAATTTTCCGAGATTTTCATAAAAAAAAATTTCCGGATTTTCATAAAGTCAAATACTCATCTATGATATATATATATATATATATATATATATATATATATATATATATATATATATATATATATATATATATATATATATATATATACTTGTATATTATATATAAATTAAAAAAAATCAATAAATTAGAATTTCACAACAATGAATATATAATATAAACATTACAGACCAACCTATTCAAGTCTTAAATAATAAAAAATTATACCAACCTGTGCAATCAATTTTGTTCGTAGATCTTCAGATAACCATGTAGCATCAGAAATCTTAAAACGAAGTTCCACTTTCGAATTAGCTTAAATATTAAACTTTAATATTTAAACAATAGCTTAAGCATTAAGCTTTAGCATTAAAATATTAGCTTAAATATTAAGCATCATTTCATAACCAATATAAACAAAAACAACAACAAAAACAAAAACTGCCAAATAAAAAATAATAGTACTGAATATGTTAGTTTAAGGATAAGGATTATAATTGTTTCATGTTTTTAATTTTGTGTGTATAAATTTTATTGCACTTTTGTGAGATAAGAAATATGGGGAAGTGGTTGGAATGTGGTGTTGAAATATTTTTGTATTTATTATTGAAGAGAATTTGTTTGTGATTAACTGATCAATGGCTATTGCGCTTTCTTTAGTCATTCTTGTGGGTTTAGTAATTATTGGAATGTAGCCTTTCTGATAAAACTTCATTTGAATGACTCATATTCATGCAGAGATAAAATCACCTAAAAAGTAAATGCTTATTCAGGGTAGCCAGCCACTTTGTACAATTAAATTCCCTGACTTATCTCTGACTTTTTATATTTTTACTTCAGACTTTTTTTATATTATTACTATGAAGTGAAGTAAAGTTTTTACTAGTATTTTAAAATGGAAATAAATTAAAACACCGGAGCAGATTAAGCTTCAAAATTTATAAAATTAACAACAAAAAGGTTAAAAATAAAACAGCTGTCTAACAATAGTATAAAAGAAATATGCATACGCCAATATATATACATTATATTTGGTCCAGTTTGCCTTAAGTTCTTTTGGAAATTGTGATAGCAAATGAATAAATTTTCTTGAAAATTAACAAAAGAGCAAATATATAAATTCTAACTAAAATATAATCTAAGATATAATCTAAAGTAAGAGCAAAAATATAACAAATATTTCAGTTATTAAGAGTTAAAAAATAAACATAAATGTTTTGATAAAATTTTTTTTTAGTTTTTTAACTTAAATACTTCAAAACAAAAATTCAAGAAAATAGTTTAAAACTTTTTAAACAAAAATAATTTAAATCTATTCATTCTATTTTGTGTGATAGCATTTTTCATTCTAGTTCAATCTCACATATATCTTCCTGGTGATGTTGATTTAACTTTTTTTAGAATTTAATTCCTTATTTTTCTGCAGAGGTAATTTTTTATCAATAGTCTTGTTTTTCTTGCAATTTTTCTTCTCTTTTTTGTTTTAATGAATCTTTGTAGTCTGAATGGGACATGTTTACACTTTTGATCATTGATTTTGTTATTTTCAAATTGCAAATTCCTCCAACATGGCGAGTCCCATCATAAACTTGTCTTTGGGTAACCATAGAGCTTTCATGCAAATTTTCAAAAGAACATTTGAATTGATAGAAAACCCACTTTCAACCTATGCATTACCATGTGACAAAGTAAAGACAATTTTGGATACTTCACATAAGTTATTAAAATTCTGGCTTATAAAAAGAGTTAAAAAAAACATCCAACCTATCCTTACAAACATTGTAACTTGTGAATTTTAATCTATTGATGCCTTTCGCAAGATCACACAAATCTTGATACTGATTATTGACCTTATCAGCTATTGTAGCATAATCCATTTAGATTCATAAGAAATTGTGAGTAAATGAGTCATTCTGTTTTTTTTCTGAGTTGAAATTAGAACAGTTAATAATGGGGTTTAAAGCTGAGGTCGCTCTTGTAAGTTTATATTTTAAAGGACTTTTTTCTCTCAGTTTATCAACAACTCTAATGTAAAACTGAATACAATCACTTCAAAACTGTAACTTCTGACATTCACTTAATTTTATTTTACCAAGTAGAAACAAGTTGCGATACCAATTTTTACTTCTTTTTGGTGACACTTGTGCATCGTTAAGTCTATTTCCATTAGCTTTATAACAAATTTTATTCCCTCTAATACATCTTTTTAAATAAAATTTTACAAGAGAAATCTCATTAGCATTTCAAATTCTTGATATAAGAATGGTGCTAATGGAGAATCTGATGGTGCTCATGGAGAATTTAATGGTGCTAATGGAAAATCTAAAGGTGCTAATGGAGAATCCAATGGTGCTAATGGAGAATCTAATGGTGCTAATGGAGAATCTAATGGTGCTAATGGAGAATCTGACTAAAAAAGTCTTAGGAATGGCTCTACAATTGAACCCAAATATTGAAAGAAAAAAAACAATTTTAGCAGGCCTTAGAAGATCATTGACAGCATCAGTTATAATGTTTACAGTATAATTACTAGGAGGTTTAGACTGCATGAGATACAACTTCACATTATCATAAATATCTAATGCTCTTTGACATACAGATACATTTTCAACCCATCTTGTTGAACAAAATTTTGGTGGAAACTTATCACTTCCACAAATTGTTTGATAATCTGCCTTACAAGCAGGGCTATCATGAAACAGTTTGTAAAAATTTCTGAGTATTGCATTTACATTCCATTTGACTTTTTTATGACCGGCTTGAAATGCACCATGTACAACATGTAGACCACATAATCCCACTTCAAGAATAGATGTTTCAAACTTATTACAAAATTCATCATTGTGAATATCAAAAAACTTCCAATTCACATTTGGTCCATCGATTTTCGAACATGTAAGAGAAACGCTGATGGGTAACGTATAGTGCCCAAAGTATTTCAGAATGTATTACATCATTTTGAGCCACAAATAAAGAGAAAGGTGGTACTGTTTTACTGAAAGAACTTGTTGAGACGATTGTGATTGGTTGAGAAGATTTGACTACACAGAAAGCTAAATGGCAATGATTCAGAAGCTATTAAAGCTGATGTTAATAAAACAGTTGCTTGTGATAGTGCATTTTTCTGCGACTTGTTAGTAAAATAATCTAATACTGTTGGTTGGATTTTTAAAGATATATTTTTAAATGCTTTGCACTTTTTTCATGACTTTTGACTGCCATTATACCCATATTACTTAGGGAAAATGCCTTTACGCACACACTACACATACCCTTTGTTTTATCATTAGCTCTCTTAAGCCTTCCCCATGATGGATGACATTCAAGATTGATCCAGTCATTATCAAAGTAAGTTGTTTTAGACATTTTTATTATTTCTATAATATTTACCTGTAAAAAAACTAACATTGTATTAATATAGTTAAAAAAAATTCATATGTTTCAATAGATTTATATATTTCAAAGATATGTCACAAACTTTAAGTATATAAGGCATTCATATTTTATTTTTCCATACAATTTTATGAATGAAAAATGAATATAATTTTCTTTTACTTGATTGTTGTTTGGGAGTAAGTAAAAAAAATATTTTAAAAAAAAAATCGAATTTTGAAAGAGATTTTATTCCCCTGACTTTTGGAAAAAAAATTAAAAATCCCTGACTTTTTCCTGATTAGAAAAAAATTCCCTGACTTTTCCCTGATTACCAGTTGGCTGACCATCCTGTTATTATTATATTATGTTTCATTGATTTTCTTATTGATTAAATTTGTTATATGATTTTCAAATTGTTTTATTTAGCCAGAAGGTAGTCTGCATAAAAACATAAGTGATGAAATTTTTTTGCGGTTTTATTTTTTATTCAAAATAATAAAACCGCATAGAACCTGTGTTATTGGACAAACATTCTAACAAAAAAACCTTATTGCATGAGGTTCCATCTGTGAATATTAATGTATTTGTTGGTAAAACATTATTAATGACAGTTATGTACAAATTCAGAAAAAGAAATGCAGAACTTAAAGATTAGCAAAATGGAAATTCAACAAGAAAACTATAACCTATAAAGCTAATGGAAATTCAACAAGCTACTCATTAATTTCATTCATTCATTCAAACCTTTGATTGAACCATTCTCCAGCACAGAAATGTTGTTTAAAAAAAAAAAAAAAAACGCAAAAAATTATCTGCAGCTGCAGGTAAAATTAGAAAAAAAAATTCTGCAGCTTTATTACATGAAAATCTTGAGCATCCCAGAAAAGAACTATTTAGACTTTTTTAATGTAATTTGAGAACTTGCTTGTTCCAAAAAAGCTGTAATCCTTGCCATCAATCTTAATTATTGCAATGTTCAAAAACTTTAGATGATCTGACACTAATGCTCAATGAAAAATGTTACAAAATTGAAAAAACTGCTGTATACAGACATCTGATACCATGTTGAAGGAATACAAATAAAAATAATTTTTTTTTTAAACATCTTTGCTTCCAACAAGGCTGCAAGCAACCACTAATTAGAGTTGGAAGTTACTGGAGAGAAAAGATAAAAAATTGTAGAGCAAGATAAAGATTGACAGACGACTTAAAAGATTGCAAATTATATGAATCAGGAAAGCAAGATGAAGGAAGCAAATTCCAAAGAACTGATGTTTTCGAGAAAAAAAACTAGAAGAATAAGAGTTTTTGGAGCACTTAGGAACAGTCACAGAAAAAGGATGAGACTTGATTGAATGACAAGTAACACAAGAATGAATTTTAGTAAATGGCACAAGAGACGCTAGCTCTTTAGAGAAGTACCTATTATAGTATTTGTAGAAAAGAAAAAGAGAAGCAACATTACGACAATGTGATAATGGTTGAAGCTATGCTTACAATGCGTTTTTGCACCTTGTCTAAAAGAGAAAGGGCATCATTAGAAGATCCGCCCCAGATATGACAACAGTATTCCATACAAGGCCGGATTTAAGATTTATAGAGATAGAGAATAGAATTCAGAGTGAGAAAGTGTCGAGCTCGATAAAGAATTAAAGTTCACCAGCCACTCTGAGCACCATGCTGCTGCAGAAGTGAGCTCTTTTCAAGCTCAAATGCCCCCTACAAGCAATCAGAGAGTGTTGGCTTCTTATCATGACAAGAATAAATGGTAGTATCAAAAAACAAAGCCAAATTAAATGTGAGAATATCTGGAAGATCGCAAAGTTAAACTTTGAAGACCACGAATATTAGTGAATGATAGGTTTATAGAACTTGGTGATGACAATGGTTTTTTGTGTTTTATAGTTTTTGGCACCGTATTTATTTTTAAATTTGTTAAAGAACTTTACTCAAAGCATACATAGCACTCAGTACACTGTTTAATAGCCCAAGCAATTACCTTGTTACTATAAATAAACCCTAAGTCGTAACAAAGGGCTTCAAATGTGGCCTTGGCAATGCACAACAGAGACACAAGCAAAACCCATGCATTGAGTTGGGAAGATCCAGCATTCAACATCCTAAACTGGAAACAATGTATTAAAATTTATTTGCACTAGCCTAATAGATGAATAGCCTAATAGATAGAAGCCTAATAGATAGAATAAACAGCCTGATAGATAGAAGGGGTGTGAGGCTGGTCAACAGATAGAATCTGTTTACCCCTTAAGTCTTTGCCTAGGAGGCCTTCTACAAGACAGTAGCTGGATGCATTTAACATCTGCCCAAGATGAGTATTTTTATCGAGACACCATCTCTAGCCTTTACTCCACCAAGAGCCCAAAGGCAGGGGGTGTTTTAAGTGGGAGTTGGCACCTCCTAGCATTTGCCTAAAAAAGCGTATCCTAAAAGGCAGCAGGACATGAAGCAGATTGTACTGAGTTACATGTTACCAGTAGCAGGATAACCTGACCTGACAATATTTATTTACAAATGGTTTTGTTGAAACTTGTCAAAACAAAATTCAATACTTGGAAGGAAAATAAAGATATCCAGTTTAGTTTGAGATTGTTATAGAACTATTCATAATTATCGGTCCATATAACACTAAGTTTTTTTTCCCTGACAATAAAGCTAGAATAGCTCTTGGAATCGCTGCAGCATGTAAAGAACACCCAATTAAGATGAGTACAGAATACCAAGTAAAATTGTCAGATTATGATTGGATGGTAGCCTTGAAACATAAATTGATACTTTCAGTTTTCTTAACTGTCAATGTCAATGTTGGCAAAAATGTTACTGGAATACAATGAGCAACATATACAGCAATCAGTTTAGGAAAACATGATTCATTAAATGGTAACAGTCATGGCACAGACATACGCCACATAGTTGATAATAAATGGTTTGAAAATTTTGCTAAAACACCTTCAGGAAATGTCGTGATTAGTTGGAGGGACAAATAAGAATGCACAGTATCCAAGTTATTGATGAGGTGATTGTTTTCTTGAAATATGATCTTGATATGTACATAGTTGTTATTACTACAAGAGGTTACAGTGCATATAATCCGTGTGAACATAAATGGCTTCCCTATTCCATGATACTTGTAGATTGGTTCTTTGGATCCATAAATTGATTGCCTTTTGAACATAAAATGGCCTTTTCTATGCCATAACAATTTGGATTTTTTTTGTGTAAGTTAAATCACCTTTCAAAGGCCGAGAGGCCACTATATTCGAGGAGGCTACATTTAATTGTGGTTTCTATTCTTAACTCTATAACACTAAAACACAAATCTTGACAAAGAAGTCCGCTTCGCGGAGAAACAAGAGAGATGTGCAGAGAAAGGCATTACTAGCAAGGTTGTGGCAGGGATTGAACTCAGAACTTCTTTCTTATGAAGTGAGCGCTCTACCACTACATCACTACTGCATCAATTAGTAATAACAAAAATTTTTGTTTACATATTGGTACAAGTGGAAAGATAATTGATAGAAGCTATATTAATACCAGAAGGCCACTCTTCAAGTTCCCAGAGCAGAGGTTGCAAACCAAATTTGGTAATCACAGCACATGATAAGTGCACGCCAAGTGCAAGTGCAAGTGCAAGATATTCCTTAAGATATAACCATGTTTTGAAAACACCACACTGCTATGCAGGACAGGAACGGCATGTGATCGAATACCACTCATGACCATACAAATGATTTTTTTTGTTGATAACTTGACCAAGACTGTTTAGATGTTTTGATAATTTAAACACTTCAGAAATGCGCTAAATAAAGAAGCACTAAGCTGAACTTAAACTTCAAAAAATTTAAGAAAAACTAATAAAAAAAATAAACGAAAAAAAAAAAAAAAAAAAAAAAAAAAAAAGTTCTATACAAAAAATAAAATATATATAAGCATCAAAATAAAACATTAAAAAACTTAAACTCAAAGCAAAAATTACTATTTGTTATATTTTTAATTGCTTATCTTATTAAAGCTCACCTTTTAAAACATTATATGCAAAAATGTTTTATTATGCAAAACGTTTTTACTAATTACTTCTATGATTATTTAATAAATGAATAATTTTTATTTAAAGTATTGAAAATAAAAAAATATTTTTAAATTGCAAAAACATTTTTCCAAAAAGCAAAAGATTATTTAAAAAAATAAGTCTTTTTTAAACTTTTAAACAACTTAAAAAAAAACTAGAAACAAAAAAAACAAACAAAAAAACGAAAAAAATAAATAAATAAAACAATTAAATCATTACATTGCAATGGAAAAATTTATTTAAATTTTATTTAAATAAACGTTACAGAAACACTAAGTTTCAAAAACAAAGAAAACAAAATTAACAAAATAACACTTTCCAAGTTTTTTTTTTAATTTTCTTACTCTTACTCTTTTTTTAATTTTCTTACTTTTGAGGACGAGTAAGAAAATTAAAAAAAAACTTGGAAAGTGTTATTTTGTCTTTTGGTCTACTATGTTATTGGTGAAATATACGTAACAATTATTAATAATTGCATAACAATTATTAATAACTCTTATCAATAATTGTTCACCAATAACATAGCAGACCAAAAGAAAATGGGCGGGTATAACTAATTACACAGAGCCAAATGTTAAAAAGGAACAGGCATCCAAAATGACATATCACTAAAAGTAATATGAAATAATTAAGGGTATGCAAAAAATAGATATTTAAAAGAAAAATAATTTAAAAAATAGATTGTGGCAGGATTCAAACCATGAAAATTCAGTGTATGAAGTAAGCACTTTATCCAAATAAGCTAAACATGCACATACTTATTAACAAATAAATGTAATTATATAATTAAAAAAGTTATAAATAAATGTATATGCATGCATTATGTAGACAGATCCATATAAGGACAATATATACTTGTTACATTAAAATTATACAAATATATTTTACAGATAGCAATTTATATTTTCGTTTTCTTTTTTTTTTTTTTTTTAAATATTGGAAAGTCATTCTTTTTAATGATGACTTGCAACTGTTTTTTTTTTGCTTAACCTTTGGAATAGCATGGTAATTTTCCATGGATTTCTGATCTTGATCAACCAGCTAATTAAGAAAAATATATGAATTAAATTTAAAAAATGTATTTCCTAATAGTAGTCATTACGCTAAATATGGTTTAAATTTTTTTAAATCATATTTAGCAAAAACAAATTGATGCACATCAGTAAGTTTGTAGTAAATATTACATTGCTTATAGTTATAGAAAATTAAATGTAAATATAACAATTATTATTTATAAAAATACATACTTTTATTTACATGTTGTCCTCCAGGTCCAGAGCTTTTCACCATTCGGATTGAAAATTTATCTTTAAAAAATACAAATTTATTAGAATAATAGTTAAATAATACAATTAAAAAAATTTAAGTAAACTAAACATTTTTTATATATTATATATATTATGATAAAAAAACAAATTAAAAAACAGAGAATGAAACTGCAAACATATAATTGTAACTTCTATATCTATATATAAATATAAAAAATATGTTTTTATATTTTTTAAAACTAACCTTTAGTGACATTTTTAAGAATTTCTTTTATGTCAAACTTACTTGAACAGAAGCGAACAAACTATATAAGATACATTAATTTAATTAATGTTTATACAAAATATTTTATGCAACAAATCAAGAAAATAATTTATCCAACAACCAATGATTGTAATATTACAAAAACTATAATTATAAAAAAAAATTTTTTTTTGTTTAAAAAACACTATGCATACATACATATTAATTATTTAAATAAAAATTGTTACTGCACAAAATTGAATATATAATAATAAAATAATTTATATACAAATAAATATATTATGTTAGATTTTACTTGATATACGGATTTTTTGAAAATCAATCAAAATTGCAAAAAAAAAAAAAAAAAAAAAAGTACACCTGAAAAGCATACTTTAAAATTGATATTTTTCAGCATTTCATTTCTTTATCATCTAAAGTAACTTTTCTTTGTTTTTGTTGCTTGTTTTTCTTTGTTATATATTGTTCTATTTTAAACTCTAAAAACTATCAGCAACAAGGAATCAAGTATTAAATTTACAAAAATGAATAAAAATAAAAATATTCTTTGAAACTATATAACTATTTTAAACAACGATAAACAAAAAAAAATAAAAAAAGATAAACACACACACACTTTAAAAAAACAAAAAAACATTTGCTTATACACTTTTTTTTATACAAAGAGTTATAAAATTTCAATTACAAATATGTTAAACTAACCACAAAGTTTCATATTTCTTTAATTATTATATTGTCAATACCAATATAAAAGATTTTTTAATAAAAGGTTAATAATCTAATATAAGGTTTTTTAACTATCATATACTTCTTCCACTTTTATACTTTTTAAAGGACTCAGTTTTTGATTCACATCTTTCTCTACAGATGGCACTGTAACTTTATCTAACTTTTTTGGTGAACTAGCAATAGATCTCTCACAAAAATCCCTTGACTTTTTATTAAAAGAAAAACATGGTACAGCAGTTGAGCTAGACATAGTTAAAATTATCTTTTTGGTTCCTTGAATGTCTTTTAATGGTGTTATGTTTTGATTGTGACAACTGGGAATTAACTCTTGGTTTTCGCTAAGTTGTGTTGCAGTTTTAATACTTATAGTAGGCGAAAGTGAGACAAAACAAATAGGAACAGTAAGATCTGGTTGAATAGAATATTCAGTATACTTTGGAATAAATGTTGCTAAAAAGGTGGGCCATATAAACATACTTTTAAAACGTTTTTTTAAAGCATCGTATGTTCGTGTTTGACGATAAGATTTATCCTCATGAAAAGGTGAATCCTTTGGAAATGCTGAATTAACTTTATTGCTTAAAATACGTCTGTTTAACAACAATGTTCTTATTCCTCTCAAAGATGGTAGACTTGGTGATAATGGATAACAGTCAGAAATATATTCATCTGATTGAAGAAATATTTTACTTTCATTATGAGGAAGAGATTGCATCACTCCAGAAGTATCAATATGAAATCCCTAAAATTAAAAAAAAATTCATAGTAAAACTAACTTGATCTCTACCACCCTCACCCCTAAAACAATTAGATCAACAACAACAAAAGTGATAAATTTTATAAATTTATCAAAAAGTATTTATATGGTTATAAAGTTGGTATATATAAAAAGTATTTTTATATATACCAACTTTATAACTATATAAATAAAACTTAAAAAACATCATACTAACTTAATCACTATAAAAACCTTCTAAAAGCATCATAATAACTTTAAAATTAAAAAAGCAACATAATAACTTTAAAATTAAAAAAGCATCATAATAACTTTAAAACCATACAAATAGAGAGTTTAAGCGTTATGTTTAGGCAGTGGCAGGAATACAAAAGATTATCTGGTAAATAAATAATAAGTCATAGAAAAATTTCCTTTCTAATGCATCACATTTAAAACGTACGCTAGAAATCTTATTTCTTACCACAGCTTAAAAAGGTACTTAACATGAATAATTAATGAGTTTAAAACTCATCCTTTTGTTTTGAATGATTTGCCTAAATAATTTTGAGGTTAACGTTTCTCTAACTCCCAATGTAATCTTTAAATTTAAACTTTGATGCAGATTTTCTAGTAAACTAACTTTGTAAAATAATTATAATAAGAAACTTTGATTGTTTATAGCGCAGATTTTTTTTTTAATTATTCTTGGAAATGTTTTTGAAAACACTTTCAACTTAAAATAAGTCATGAATAATTAATGACTTGAAATGCCTACGCTGAAAGTTTTTTATGCTTAACATTTTTTAAATTTGCAGTGATAGCAACTTGCTAGCGTTTGTACTAACACTACCTGGAAATAATTGCTTATTTCCAGGTGGTGTTATAATTGCATCCTTAAACTTTCTAATAAAAATAAACAACTTGTTTGATGACTTAAACATGTTGTGTTGCAATAATAAAAATAAAAAAACTTACCGAGAGAAGTCTTGTGAATATTTGCAGTGGATTATTCGCTTCTGGCAAAACTTTTGGTGTATCGTCTTGAATTATCTGAGAGGTTTCATTTGTTGTTCTATTTTTTGTAGAAATGATGTTACCAGCAAAATTATTTTCAGGTATAACAGAATTCTGTTCAAAATTAGCTTCTTCATTAATAGCAGTTAATTCTTCATCATGTTCAGTTTTTATATGAGTAATAATTTTTAATCTTTTTGCATCATTACATTTTGTTTTACTGACTCTTTTTCTTCTTTTTTTTTTATTTGCAGTGTCAACTTTATTGTCACTGTCACCACCAACCTAAAATTAAGATTGAAAACAAATAGTTAAAAATAAATAAATGATTTTATTTTATATAAATTAAATTCAAATTTGACAAAAGTATTAAAAACATAAAAATTTAATTTCTATTAATTGAACCAATTATGTCCAATTAATTAAAAAAGTTTATTTTGAAGTAAAAACACATTTTATTCTATAAAGAAATAAAAAATGTCTGTAGCCTTTCCTAAGTCATTAGGATTAAAACTGGAATAGTAAAAACATATTCTAGTCACTTTAATTTTAAAAATACAGTATTTATTTCAAAAAAATATACAAATTTATACAAAAATATACATGTTTGTGTACTAAACCTTGCATGACACGCCATTGACAATGTCATACTGAAATAGTCATTTACAGGGGCTAAAATACATACATTAAATGTATTTTAACAAGGATATGTATTTTAACTATGATAACAAAAACATAAATAATTATTCATGATTACATTTACATGATTCAAAATGTGACTATAATTTAAAAAAAATAATGCATTTGCTTTTCAAAATAAAAGAAAATGTGATTTTGAAACTTATTACGAATTAAAAAGAAAATATGCTTTGAATGCAACTACAACATTTTAAACATGAAAATCCCAGTTTCAAAAATTCTAAATCATGTGCATGTCTAATTTAATTCAAGTTGGTTTTTTTTATTATGCTTAGTAAAATTATATTGCAACATAGTGTATAACTACTTTAAATGCTTGTTAAAGATTTCTTTAAAATAATCACAATCAATAAAATTTTCATAATTCAAAATATGTTTTATTATTAACCACTTTTTTGTAGGTAATAACTGTCAAGATGCCAGGTTACTGAATGTTACTTTTTCCTAAATTTTAGTTGCCCTTTGCAAAGACAAGCCATCCTGTACCACTGGATGACTGTAATGTTACACTAAGCTATTTTATTTTTATTCAAATTATTTTAAAAGATTTAAAGAAAAACAATAGAACATCGACCTTTACATTGACTTCATATAGTGAAACTCAAAGAAAGGAAATGTGCTTGAAAGGTATGAATGTCTGTAAATTACATCTGTAACAGCATGTATATTATAAATAATATTGAAACTGTGAATTTAGTAAATAGTTTCAATATTATTATTAAATGTGATCAGTAATAGTTCATTTAGGAAATGAACTAATACTGATCACAAGATTAACTAATATTTTCACAAGAAGCCATAAGAAAATCACTAGATTTATTTGCATGCAAAAAAGAAATTTCTATCTTACAACTATTGAAATACAAAAAGCAATTATTTAAAATTGATATACTGCTTGTAAAAAGAGTGTTTTTGAAAACACATGTCAACATGTGCTTTTTATGAAAGTAGATTAGTTTACAATAATTCCTATTATATATATATATATATATATATATATATATATATATATATATATATATATATATATATATATATATATATATATATATATATATATATACATATATATATATATACTTATATATATACTTATATATATATATATATATATATATATATATATATATATATATATATATATATATATATATATATATATATATATATATATATATATATATACACATATATATACTTATATATACTTTATATATATTATTTATATTATAATTTATATACATATATATACTTATATATACTTTATATATATTATTTATATTATAAAAATAGAATAAAAAAAAACTAGCATTCAATATTTTGTTTCAAATGAGAACAGTTTGACCAAACTTTCACTACCTCTTTTAAGTTTGGTCACTTTTGGTGATCACAGTTTGGTTAAAACATCACAGTATTACAAGTTTAACTTCCCAAGAACACATCACAATATCACAAATTTAACATCCAAATAACACATCACAATAACATATTCCAATATCACAAACTAAACATAAAAAATAGTGAAAACAAGTTTTCACTAATTTTTATGTTTGAATTTAATTTTTAATGTTATTTTATAATAAAATTATTTTATATTTCAACAGCATGCATATTCCCGAAACTCTTGTTTTGCAAATAAATTATTTCAACTGATTTCAATTAAAAATCATTTTTTTATGATTCTTTTGCATAAAGCGATAACGAATATTTTTGTAGAAAAAAAAAGTTTATAAAAAATGAAATATGCATTCATTTTTATTATTTATTTTTAAATGATCGAAGTTGGTAAAAAGTTGTTTAAATATAAATGATTTTTTCATTCAAAATTTTACTTTCAAATTGTTTTGCAATGACATAAAGAGAGAAAAAAATCTTGGTTTAATGAGTTAATTTTAACATAAAATATTACCCAATATAAAATAACATAAAATTTTAACATAAAATATTACCCAATATAAAATGACATAAAATTTTAACATAAAATATTACCCAATATAAAATAACATAAAATTTTAACATAAAATAACATAAAATATTACCCAATATTGTTGCAAGATTATAAAGAAATTAAACCTTATACCAATAAGTTTTAAAAAATCAAAAAAAAGTTTTGCCTATATTTGCGCAACAATTATATTTCTTTTTTTTTACAGAATGGCTCCTTTGATTTCCTATATGGCTTTTTTTGATATATGGTTGCAAACCTCCCAAAATTTTATGTTCAATAAAATTACAAGTTATGTTATTGAAAAAATAGGAAATGTTAGATTGTCTGATGCTGCTATAAAGTGTTTAAAAATTAAAATGACAACTCCCAATATAATATCAAAAAAATCAGACCTGGCAGGTCAACAAAAACTTTCAATGCGCTTGCAATTTTAAAGCTAAGTATGGTCACAACAATGGAACTGAGGAAAGAAGAAAAAGAGATACAGCTTCCATTGTTAAAGAAATTTCCATTTTATTTCCTAAGCAAAGTACAACTTCAAAAAGATACAAAAATCATTTCTAAAGCAAAAAGCATCATTGTTGGCAGAAAAAGCGCTTGTACTAATAGTTGATGCTAATCTCTCCACTAGACAGTACAAACAAATTCGCTAGCAATCTAATAGCTTGAATTGCAAGCTATATCCTTTGTACCACAGAGATGAAGAGGCTAAGTTGTTGTGTTGTTGCTTAAGGAGTTATAATAACAGAAACTTAGCAGAAACATCTCTAAAAGCTCTCATTGATCACATGATATTTCACTTTTGTCAAATTCAAGAAGTGAGGGAGAAATTACATATGCATAAATCTAAAAAAACATGGTATTGTAATGAACTGGGGATGCAACGGGTCAGACCAGAAGTAATATAAGCAGAGGGTTACAAAGAAGAATTCAAATGATGAAAGTTTGTTTAGTATTTCTATGTTCCAAAACAAAATTAGATGTTACAAACTTTCTGTGATATAGTCAATACCAAAACCATCATTTAGAAAAACCCTATCACATTGTCTACTGCCTATTGTTGACCCATCAAATGTGTTTTCAAGATGGAACCAACAGATTTAGTAACTAAACAAACTAATGATATAAAAGAACAAATTAAAATGCTTTTTCCCACTAAAGTATCTCTCGTAGATCTTGAAATAACAATAATGTCAATCATGGTACTTTGCATGATAAAAGGAAAAGTTTGCAATGCGCTGTCATTACGTTCTTCGGCATAATCCTGTTAGTTATGTGGGGCACAACCTACTAAAATGAATAATAAAAATATATTATCAAAAAAAGAGGTGAACAAACGTTATCTTTTATTTGAATTATCACCTCATCATGCCTGAATTTAAATTACAGCTTTTTATTTCAAAAGCAAATGAAAAGTTTTTTTTTTTTTTTTTGTTAATTAACCTCCTCAAGGCCGAGAAGGCCACTACAGACGAGGAGGCTACTTATTTGTGGTTATATAACCCTCTCTCAACTCTATAACTCCGAAACACGAACCTTGACGAACAAGGTCACTGCGCGGAGAAACGAGAAATGGATGGAAAGAAAAAAGAAAGAAATCCAGGATAGGTCTAGAGATGATTTGGGTCTTTTAATTGATGCACCCAGACAGCAAACTGATAATACAAACTATAGAAAATCTGCTCATAAATTTTTTAGGAATGCTGCTAAAACAGCTAACATAACAGGAGTGCACTTGGGAATTATTAACAGGAGTGCACTTAGGAATTATTAACAGGAGTGCACTTGGAAATTGTTCTAGAATGCATAAACTTATGTCATAAAATCAATTTGAATAAACTCAAAATCTACAATAAACTAGAAATCTTCTAAATATTGTCCAATATTTGGAAGAGGCTCAAGAGTTTCAAAATAAACGCAACAAATTGGATTAAAATTATGTTTTCTTATTTATATGTGAAAAAAGTTTTCAAAATGATTTATATATCTAAAAATTTTTTAAAAATAAAATGAGTAAATTCTTGATTTTACTCATTTAATGATTTTTATGCAATGTAATTGTGCTATAAATACGCAAAAATACAATTTATTTTTGTATTATACTAACTTAAATGTTAAAATAGTAAAATATGCGTCGCTGCAGTTTCCATTGAATTTAACATATAAGTATTGTAAGCAAACGTTAAAAATTCAAAATATTCTTTTGAACTTTCCAAAATTTTATTTTTCAAATTTAAGATTATTTGAATAAGAGAATTTTAGAAGATGGAAATTCTCTTGTTCAAATATATTTCTTTTTAAAATGAATTCCTCAAAACAACTTACATATGTAAAGAAAATGTATAATCTTGAAATCAATATAAATAAAATGAAAATGTAAAATGCATTTTTCACATTTGTTTTAAAATTCCTTGCTCACAAAATCAGAAATTGCCCTTTGTGTTGGAGCATCACCTCTAGATACACATGTTGATACAAGACCTTGTACATTTGTATTGTCTTTTATATTTTGGCCTTTTCTAATAATAATATGTGTATATGTGTGTGTGTGTGAATATATATATATATATATATATATATATATATATATATATATATATATATATATATATATATATATATATATATATATATATTATATATATATATATATATATATATATATATATATATATATACACACACTGAAAAGAAAAATGAACTTAATGAAAAAAAGCATAAAAACTTCAATTTAAAAAACTTTGATTTTTTCTAAATTCTTTGAAGTGAACTTTTAAATGTGTTAGATGTATAAAAGTAAATTGAATAAGTATATTTTGTTTTAAATATATCAAACTTCTTACATTATTATTATTAGGGGAGAGTGTGTATGATAGAGCCAGTTTTAAAAAGGTATGAAAAAAAGTCAGTTTTGATTAATTTAAAATTTTTTTTATTTTTTATTTAAATAGTTACTTTATTGGGTAATACTATAAAAATAAAATAAATTGGATAACCATGCTAAAAATCTGTCATACACCTATTTAAAAAAAAAGCTCTTTCATAACATCTTGTCAATGAAAGATCCGCTCCGTGCTATGAATGAGCCGTAACATTTTTTCTAAAACTAACAAGTCTTTTAAGAGTAATAATTTATTAACTAGACTTCTAAAAATTCGATTGTACGTTATATAATCATAATCAAGTTATAAAATCAGATTGTAAGTTTTATAATTCTGTGATAATCAATGATAAAACAGCTTTAATAATAGTTTCACTTTATTATTAAAAAAATATCCTTGTATAACGTCAACTTCGTTTTTTGTAGTTAATACTTGTGAAGACATGTTTTTTTTTAAAGATAAAAAATATTAAATGAGAATAAGAAAAACAAAAGTATCAATATGCACTAGTCAAATGTTTACAAAAAAGTTAATATACACTAATCAAAAGAATAAATTCTTTTGACTTCATCTTGACGATAAATGTTATTTATGAATCAATTAATTTCAATAGAATATGATCAATGAAGCATTACTAAAAACAATGAAGTCGTTAAAGAGCAAAACAGTTATTTAGTTTTAAAAAAAAGCTAATTAGAAAAAGCCGGCTTTTTTCATAGCATAAAAAAGTGGCTTTTTCAAAAAATTGTGTGGTAAAAAAACAACCTGAAATTAAACATTTTTTACCAAAACTTTAATTTAATATTATTTGTGGAAAAGAAGGACACATATATAAATAACAATGCAGCATATATGTTTTATCAAATAATGCAATATTCTTTATCTTAAAAATAAATAAATAAACCCCCCAATAATTACTTGTTATTTTCAAAGTTTTTAGTGCATCCGTGCAACGCTATTTATTTTAGTAGAACTCTAAATTTTTTGTAAGTGACAGGTATCCAGCATTGCCACACAAAAAGTATAATACAATTATGGTCGGGTGCCAGTAAGTTAGATATAATGGCATCGGCTCTTTCAAAACCTGGCTCTTTCATACACTCTCTCCCCTACATAAAGTTTTCTGTTTAAGTATTGTGCTGTTTATGTTTTCAGTTTTTCATTAAGTTTACTTAAAATAGTACTTGTACTCTATGTAAATATTTCATGAAATGTAAAAGCTATTTCAGAATACATTTGATTTGATTAAATTAAAATAAAAACATATTAAATTAATGCTTTTATTTTTTCTGCTTTACTTTTTTTTCAATCATTTATTGAGAATTTTACTTTTTTAATTTAGTTTTGTACTTTTTTTTTTAGTTTTTATTTCTCTCTCCAGTTTTACTTTGTTTAGTTTTAATTTTAGTTTACATTTGTTTATTCAGCGCTTTTTTTAAATGCGCTAACTTTAAACATGCAAGGAGCCATGACCAGTTGTCAAAACAAAATATTTTATGTGAGGTTATATAAGCATCTCCTGAGAGGGCTTGTATGTATGTATGTATGTATGTATGTATGTATGTATGTATGTATGTATGTATGTATGTATGTATGTATGTATGTATGTATGTATGTATGTATGTATGTATATATATATTTTCCTTTTTTTAATTTTGGTAGCAGCCAACCTTTAAAGTTTTAAAAATTTAGCAAAACTAGGTACTCATTTTCTTATAAAAATAAATTTTGTTGTACTGAAACAATACAATTTACTCAAAAATGATAAATATGATGTAGAAAAACAGTTTTTCAGGTAATATGTCAAAAAAAAAAAAACATGCAAAAAAAAACATGCAAAAAAAAACAAACAAACACTTATTGTAAGAATGTAGTATTGGGAGATCAAAAATGCAAGTTAACCAAATTTTCACAAAAAAATGTATCATGTTCTTGATTATTAGAAGCAAGTGACTCATGCTTATTTGAAATTTGGAAATTTTTTAAAATATCTGTTAAACATTTTTTTAGAATAGTATTTAGTCAGATTGATGAGTCTTTTTCACTTATTGAAAATAAGATTTTGGGATAAAATGTGAAGTCAACTTGAAATAATGCCATCTGTCAAGTGATTACCATTAATGTGCTTGCCCATGAGAAAATAGAACCAAAAAAATTACATTTTTGAGGTTTTTTTTATTTATTTTTGACATTTTCACTTCACTTTAAAGATGAAAGTTACTGGAAGAGAAAAGATGAAGTTTATAGAGCAAGATAACAATTGACAGACAACGTAAAAGATTGCAAATTATATAAATCAGGAAAACAAGATAAAGGAAGCAATTCCAAAGAACTGATGCTCAAGGAAACAAACTAGATGAATAAGAATTTTTGGAGTACTTAGTAATAGTTACAGTAAAAGGATGAGAATTAATTGAATGACAAGTAACACGAAAATGAATTTTAGTAGATACAGCAGGAGAGCTAGCAGTGTTTATTATAGTTTTTATAGAAAAGAAAAAGAGAAGCAACATAACGCAACATTACACAACATTACAACAATGTGACAATAGTTAAAGGTTGGCTGCAAGAGCAGGTTCAACTATGTTTACAATGCTTTTTTGCACCTTGTATAAAAGAAAAAAGGTATAATTCAAAGATCTACACCAGATATGGCAACATTATTCCATAGAAAAACAGATTTGAGATTTACAGAGAATAGAATATTTTAGTAAGAAAGTGGCGAGTATGATAAAGAGATGCAGCCATAGCAGATCCTAATTTTGCAATTGATTTGATATATGGTTTCCAATAAAGATCGGAAGTAAGAGTTAATCCTAGAAGATGAAGGGTAGATGACCCATCAAAGACATTACCATTCAAAAATATAGATAATTGTGATAACGATTGGCTGAAAAATTATTTTTTATCTATATATTTTTTAAAATTTTATTTTTACCTTTTTTAAAAATTTATCTATATATTTTAAAAATTGTTTTTCATCTATACATTTTTATTTATAAATAAAAATTAGGTTTTATCTTAATTAAAGTTCACCAGCCATTGTAAGCCCCATGCTGTAGCAGAACTGAAATCCTTTGCAAGCTCAAATGGATTAGGGATTCCTTCCTTTATCCTCAAATAGGATTAGGGATTCCTTATAGGAATCCTATTCCTATTTGAGGATCCAGGGAAAATGGAATGATCCATAATTAGATCATTCCTTTAGGAATCCCTAAAGTTATAGGATATGAAGAAAAATGCTCCCATTGTTTATAGTAGTATAAAAGTGTCTGAGGACATCTTTTATACTACGATTGGTATGAAAGGATTCAATAATCTTAAAGTTGTGACCTGATATACCATAAGAAAAGAGCTTATGGAGGAGACCAGGATGCCAAACTTTATCAAAGGCTTTAGAAATGTCAAGAGCGATAGTCTTAGCCTCTCCACATTTATCTAATGCACAAAAAAACTTATCAGTTATTACCAATAACAAATCAGCAGTAGAATGAGAAGATCAAAATCCCTATTGATGATCAGTAAGTTATTATATTCAAAATGATTCAGTGTTTGTTAATTAAAGACTCAAAAACCTTGCTTATGATAGGAAGAAGATTAATGGAACAGTAGTTATAGGCGAATCAGATCACTCTCCAGAATTTTTAAAAATAGGAATAACAGATGCTGCTTTCCAGCAGACTGGAAAATAAGATTCTGAGCACTTGTTAAATTGTTAAGTATATGCGACAACTCTGGAAAACACTTCTGCAAGACTATAACAGGAAAGTTGTCTGAACCACAAGCTGTAGAAGAGTCCTAGCAGAAAATCACTTTAGATAGTAAAACTTAAGTGATATGAAGGTCAGGCATTGGATTAACCTGACAAATTTGGCTAAGCGATCAACAGTTAAAGATATTATGATAGTAGATATAAGTCTAATTTATTGTTTAGAAATCTATATCAAATCTTATCAAATACATATTCTCTATAGCAAATATATGCTATTGATAGTACTCTCACATAATCCAGACTTGATTAAAAAAAAAAAGGGAGGAGGAGGAGGGGGGGGGCAGTATTATTAAAATGGTGAGTGGAAATCTTTTACAGAACATGAATAAAACAATTCAGTTGTAGTGCAGCTTGCAGAAAATGCTTCACCACAACAGCATATATATATATATATATATATATATATATATATATATATATATATATATATATATATATATATATATATATATATATATATATATATTATGCGGTAGTGGTGTAGTGGTAGAGCGCTCGCTTCATAAACGAGTGGTTCCGAGTTCGATCCCCACCACGTCCCTGGTAGTACCGCGCTCAACTCGTTTCTCCGCGCAGCGGCCTTGCTTGTCAAGGTTCGTGTTTCGGAGTTATAGAGTTGAGAGAGGGTTATAACCACAAATAAGTAGCCTCCTCGTCTATAGTGGCCTTCTCGGCCTTGAGGAGGTGAATTAAAATAAAAAAAAATATATATATATATATATATATATATATATATATATATATATATATATATATATATATATATATATATATATATATATATATATATATATATATATGCAAAATGACTTTCGTAGTAAAGTAATCAAAATTTTGAATAATAAAATAGAATAAATTTCAACCAGATAAAATATTAAAAATTATATCTCTAACCTGAAGTTCCTTGAGCATATTTAATTTACTTTTTATGTTCTCTATTGAAGACATATTCAAATCATTTTTTTCTAGCTTTTTAATATGAACTTGAATGATTTTGTTAACAACTCTAAATTCTTTTTGTTTTAACTCACACTGTTGAAGTAATTCCTAGAAAAAACATATTGTTGAAGTAATTCCTAGAAAAAACACAAACTTGTTTCCACACATATTGCTGAAGTAATTCCCAGAAAAAACACAAACTTGTTTCCACACATATCATTTTTTGAAATTTGATTAAAATAGAATTTTAATCAACTTTCAAAAAACTTAAAAATTAGGGATGTACTGGAATTCATGCGGGAACTTGTGTCTTTTATATCAAATTGCTTCGGGCTGGAATGAATTTTTTTTTTTACTTTTTTTTATTTCAACCAGAAATGAATTGATCTAAAATACACAAATTCCGGCTGGAATTTAAACTACTGGTATAACACTAATAAAAAGCTATACTAGTGTAAAAATGGTCATTGTATTTTAACGCAAAAACTAACAATCTATCAACAATAATAATAATTTAAAAAACTAAATAATTAAAAAAACTAAATAAAAAAAAATTTAGTTATTTAATTGATGTCAAAATATTTATAAGTTGAATAAATATAAAACTACAAAAAAAATATTTTAAAATAACAAGATTTAGAACAAAAATTAAATCACCAAAACCGGACATAATCTAAGCTGAAAATGTTATAAATAATTGTATCAAATACTGTTGATTTAGGTCGGCATCAAAGTATTTAAATATTTATTGACTTTGCAGAGGCTATTATATGTGTCAACTGCCTTATAGAAGGGTGAACAAAGGTATAGGTGAACAAAGGTACAGCCTTATAGAAGGGTGAACAAAGGCACAGGTAAGCAACCATGTGCACATTTTTGCTAAAGTTTGTGAAATCTGTTGTGCTGAAGTAACTATAAACTTTTGTGCTTCAAAAATTCCATTGATACTTGTGTAAGTATTTTGTAATGCTTGATGGTTAAATAAAGTTGTAATTATATTATAAATAATTATATTATAAATATAATTTATTATGCTTAAATATAAATATATTATAAGAAAATGCAAATCAAAGTTATTTATAAAAAAAAACCTTGTATAGCACAAAATAATTACTATTTGAGATCTAAAAAAATTAAAAAACAAGTCAAACAAATTAACAAAAGAAAAAAGAAACGAGAAAATAAAAAGGAAAGACAAAAAACCAAAGTTAAAAGAAAAAAAAATATTCGAAAATAGAAAGGAACTAAAATAAAATATAAAAATTGCTCCGTTTTTGAAGAAAGAAAAAAGAATATTTTTTAAATTTTATTATTTTTGAGTGACAATATGTGTTTGCTTACTATGATTTATTTTTTTATTTTAATATTGTTATTTATTTTGAAAACTCTATACTTTCGTGACTAAATTTTTGTGTGTGTGACACGTTTTATTCGTGAGTCTTATTGAATAATATTTGTTCTGTTTATTTATTGTTATTTTTTAATGGAGTATTTATTTTTCTTTTATTGTTTCTATTATGATTATTGATATTAAGATTATTATATTTATTAAATCCTTGCTACTTTTATTTGCAGTAATTGTTTTGGTTACATGGTAGGTGGTACGCTTTGTCAGAACATAACTGTTTGTAACTTTTCTGTTTGTGCATTATATTCAATTTGTTGTTTTAAAATTGATATTGGTTTATTATCATATAATTCTCTTATTATTCTTATAACTTGTAATTTATCATCATGATTATTAGTATTATCAATCCTATTTCATGGTATTTACTTAAGATTAGTTTTTAACCATTTGTAAATGACCTCGATTGTAAGATCTTTTATTGAAAATATATATTGATTGATTGATTGTATAACACAGAATGATTACAGATCTGTTTGTATAAACAACTTTATAACTGTAAATTCTATAAAACAAGAAAGTTTTATGTTTGTATAAACAACTGCATAGCCATTCATTGTAGACAAATGTGGTACACAATTTGAGTTGCCTTCTCATTTGAATAATTTTTTCTGCAATCAACTTGCCTTCATTCAATATTTTTGTTTTAAATGTTACTAATTAAAAGTAATATAATTTAATAAGCTTGGAGATGCTGTTTTTTTAAAAATAATTATTATTAGGTGACTTTTAGATAATTTAGCATACTACTTTATCAGCATTGTCTTTTAAGTTGTTCTACTAAATAAGTATTTCAATTTCAATCTAATGAGCAAGTAACGTATTTAATATTATTATAATATTACTTTTGGTAATTGTTTTCATTAACATAGTACTTAAAAAAGTATAATTGCAAATGCAAATATTACAATATTTAAAACATTTTAATTAGTTTTAATTTAAATGGTTTATAGATATATCATATTTGCTTCAAACATGCTATATCTATAGACCAAACGAGTAAGATCAAAGCAAAAAAAACATGAGAAATTTATTACTACTTAATCTTGCGTACAATTAAAAATTTAAGTATAATTAATTTTTTAATTCAAATGATTTTCAATTTGATGTTTTCATTCAACTTTTTTGATTAAATTGCTTTGCAATAATAATTGAAAAAAATAAATTAATAAAAAAAAGAAAATAATAAATCGAATGTTATATTTGCTTAAGTTTATGCTTAAATAATATTTTTTGGAAAATTTTTTTTTTCTAACAGAAGTAAAATTATTTGTTTTAATTTAAATTTTTTATAATTTAATTTTTGGTTTAATGTCTGCAATAAGCACCGGTTTAATTTTAGCAATAGAATGTTTCAACTTTTAAAACTATTTTAAAAAAAAAAATAATGACAACTTTACTAAAAATACTTAACTATTCAAAATGTTTACAACTTAAATAAATGTTCTAAATCTGATATTGTTACTGTAGCTGCTATTAAATTACTTTTTTCATTAAATTGAAAAAAAAAATATGCCACAGGGTATTACAGACGTCGCTGCAATTAAATTTATAACTATTGTAGGCAATCGTTAAAATTCTTTTAAACTTTTCAAATTAATTTTTTTTAATTACAATTTTAATTGCAAAATTATTTGAATGAGAGATGTTGCTTCTCTTTCTCTTTTCTATAAAAACTATATTGGGTACTGCTCTAAAAAGCTAACGTCTCTTGCACCTAGAGTTGCAAAATTTCTGGAAATTTTCATCTCTAAAAACTTTCCAAAAATTTTTAAAAAAAGATAAGTTATTTTATAATTAATGAGTAAAATTTTATGTCTTAGTTAGGCAGTTGTTATGGAGAATTTTATGGTAAAATGTTGTGAAGCAGATCATACAAATTTTAGAACGCCCCCTTTAAAAAACATTTTTTGAGTTTTTTATTATAACTATAAGTAGCAACTATGATCATTTGTTTTAAAATTTTTAAAAACTGTTTCATCCTGTTATTGATGTTCATTGACGTATTTGTCAATATCTATTAAATTGACCGACAAATTACTGAAAACTATAAAACTATATATAAAAAGATTTGATATAAATATTTGCAGTACTTTACAATTTTTTCTTGATTTAAAGACGCTATTAATTAATGAAAGGCAAAAAGTAAGGAAATTTTTTTTGCTAAATTTAAACTATTTAAAAATAAAGTTCGCAATAAAAATAAAGAAATAATGATTTTGAGGTCATAAGTCCACTGCTGTCTAAATAAGTGCATTTAAAACAAAACGCAGCATTAAAACATCCCCTCCCCCTAAAATTGCCTTTGTATGCAATATGTACACATAAAAAGTCTTTGTTTCTTTTAAACACTCTACAAAATATAATAATATGCAATAAAATTTATCTAAAAATTATTTTTTGTATTTTTTTAATTCTTTATTCATTGTATTTTTTATGAATATTTTACATCCTAGTTGAGAGAAGTTAAAGCTATATATATGTTAAAACATCTACTTTTGATGCTTTACAAAAGTTATGTAAGTAAACATATAACAACTTGAGGGTTTTATCAATTTTTTTTAAAAAATACGTGATTTTTAAATTGACTATAAAAATTTGACTAAAAAATGTGCATTTTTGGCCTGTGGGTCTTTATTATTTTATATTTTTGTTGAAATAATTAAAAACGGCTAAAAGAATGCTAAATTAGTAAAGAAAAAAAAAAAAATTAACAAAAAAAAAAAGCTAATTGCAAAAATAATTTTTTAAGAAACCTATTGTAAAGGTGTGAAAAGCAATCACGATTTGTGATCATAAAAAGCTTAATTCGAGATCTACATTATGCATTTTACAATTTCTATTAGGCTCCTTGATATCTTTCTTGATATCTTTCTTAAAAAAATACAAATGATAATTGCATTTACTTTAAAAAAGTTCAATTTAAAGTATCACGCATATGAGATTTACAAGATGCAGCAGAAATGCCAATTTTCCTAGAGGCAGTTATGTATTTTTATAATTTAGAAGATAGAAAATGTTTTAAAATATATTCGTAGAAATGGAACATAAAAGTAATTTATTTAAAATGAAACTGTTAGGGCAAGGCTATGCAAAACAAACTTCTGTGGTCAAAAATCACAATATGTAGCAGTTATTCGCTGATTTTGCACAATATAAGTAACAACTGCTTTTATAACCCTCTTTTATAAAATAAAATAGCATGAAATAATATAAAATGAAATAGCAACAAATTTATGTTTGTTGGCCTGCCTATATATGTATATATGTACACTACTGTTTATAATTATTTGAATGGCATTAACTTTTTTAAAAAATGCTTTATTGAGGTTCATGAGCTTCCAAGTTCGATCATCACCAAGTTCCTGATAGTAACATGCTCGACTTGTTTATCCGTGTAGTGGCCTTGTTCGTTAAGGTTTGTGTTTCGAAGTTATAGAGTTGAGAAAGGGTTGTAACCACAATTAATAAGCCTCCTTATCTGTAGTGGCCATCTCAGCTCTAGGGAGGCAAGTTTACATTAAAATGTGTATATATATATATATATATATATATATATATATATATATATATATATATATACACACAAATAGTATTACGTACTAAAGTAAGCAATCTGACATCATACTGAAATAGCCTGCTGCTGGGGGCTTCAGTACATACATCGACTGACAAATAACCTGACTTGCAGTGGAATGCTGCTACATTGACCGAGGGTTTGGGATGGGGCAGCAATCGTTTCATTCATCATTCTTTGTTTTTTTTCTTCTTTTTCTAAAAAAGCCGTATGGGTTAAAGTAAGCAAAAAAAGTGAGCAAATGCTTATAAAAATACGCTTTAGTAAGTGTGTGTGTGTGTGTGTGTGTATATATATATATATATATATATATATATATATATATATATATATATATATATATATATATATATATATATATATATATATATAAGTTAGTAGAAAATCAATTATCAAACTTTTTTCATTTTACTATGTGTTTGATTGACAAAATGTATTTTTTTCATTCACAATCTGTAAAACCAATATATTGTTTATCAAGTACATTCTTAGAGGAAACAACTCATTTTAATACACATTTTTTGATAAACATTTTCCACTCATTGGACAATGACAAATTTTTGTTTTTTTATTTTGATAAAAGTATATAAAGTGACATAGTTTTTCCAAGTTTTTCCACTGGCATAGGGTGAGCTTGCACCTATCGATTGTGAACCTAGTGTTATACCATTAGTCTACTACCAATTTAAAGAAATAGCCTAAAGATTATAGTTGTCATCTAAATTGGTTAACATGTTGTCAGACTCCTCAAAAAGTAGTCAGTTCTGGGTACCAAACAAATACAACAGAAAAAACACTATAACCAGTAAGCTAGTTTAATATAAATTATCAAATGTTATTTTAAAACAAATTTTTTAAAATTTTCAAAAATAACCAATTTTTAAAAATAACGTTTTTATTTTAAACTTGTCATTAGTAATATTTAATGTATTTATATAACTAAAACATATTAAATCAAATTAAAATAAATTGAACAAGATTAAACCTAATCAAATGCAATTTATTAAATTAAATTGAAAAGATTAGAAACCATTTTAATTATATTAAACTCAATTTAATTAATTTAGAATGCATAAAACTCAATTGAAACTGACTTTCATAAACAAAGCAAAAAAATAATAATAATAATATTAGAAAATACCTCACACTTAAAAATTCTTTTATCATCATTACTTTTGAATATTGGTTCTTCATTATTTTCGTGTTTTTGTACACCAGTTAACTTTTCAGTTTTTTTAATTTTAGCTCTTCTTCTAGCTTCGTTGTATTTTTCTTGCAAGCGATTAATTAGATCTATTTCATTCTTGTTATATACCAACTCAGAACTTTCATTAGATCCAGCAATTACCTCAGTAACTTTATCAATAAGTAATTCAGAATCAGATGAGGTAGGAGATTTTTTTACATTCAATTTATTTTGAACATTTTTTGAAGGACTTTTATAGTCAGCATCGTTAGCATCATCTGCAGATAATTCTTCTGAATATCCACTTTCTGAAGATCTGTTTAAAATTTTTTCAGAAGAAAATTCTCTTCTATTAGACATATTTACAGTCACTGAAACACCTTGACATTCATTTGCGTTATATTTTTGTTCAGACATAGCTGGTTTATTAAAATCATTGACACAAGAATCTTCATTAAGCTCATTGTGCGAAAATGTTTTTGAACGTAACTCATATTTAGGTGACTTTAGTCCATCTTCATTTTTAGGTTTATAGCTATTACTAGTATTTTTAGGTCTTCCAAGACTGATAGGAACAGCAAACTCTCCTTTGTAATGCATTTGAGCGAGCTTTCGAGTTAATTCTTCTTCAGAATAACCTTCCTCGATCAATAATGCTTTTTTACGCATCAGTCGCTAAAAAACATTGCGTGTGTGTGCATACGTATGTATGTATATATATATATATATATATATATATATATATATATATATATATATATATATATATATATATATAAACAAATATAAAATTTTACAAACACATAGACATATAAAATATATATATATATATATATATAAATATATATATATATATATATATATATAAACAAATATAAAATTTTACAAACACATAGACATATAAAATATATATAATAATATATATAAATATATATATATATATATATATATACATATATATATATATATATATATATATATATATATATATATATATATATATATATATATATACATATATATATATATACATACATATATATATATATATATATATATATATATATATATATATATATATATATATATATATATATATATATATATATATATATATATATACATATATATATATATACATATATATATATATATATATATATATATATATATATATATATATATATATATATATATATATATATATATATATATAAAACATATATTGCCTCAACAACAAACCTTTTTTTCTTGAGGATTTAATGATGGAGAAAAGTTGACATCTAGTTCCTTAATAAAATAAACTTTTTATAAGATATATTTATAGATCTTATAAATTTAGTTACTATAGTTTAGTAGGAACAATTTATACCTCAATACTGTAATCTCTCTTTTCGTCATCTCGATGAAGAAAGTAGCCAAGTACAGAATTTTTTTTCCATAAAACACTTTTACGATACTCATGATACTAAAAGTAAATAATAAATAAATACATAGGTTTACCCACAGTTACTGTGTTTTGCCAGAATAATGAATAAGTAGGTACATAGGCAATAAGTAAACGCTCAGCTATAAATAATTATATAATTATAAGAAATTATTATAATCAAAACTATTATAAAATTAAAAAAACTAACAAAAGATTATTAAGGAAGCCATAGCAACTTACTACTTTTTATTTTTTTAAATATAAAAAAAAAAAAAAACCTTATACTTCTATACCTCGCCACGTTTGATTTGCCTATATCTTCTGGCAATTTGACAATCAAGTCTTGGTGCCATTTCTTTAGCAATAGTTGACCACTTACCTAAAGAATATTTTTTAATAAAACAATAGAAGACTAACTACTTTTTAAACTTTTTCCAAAGACTTTGAAACTTTTTTAAAACGTGTTTGCTTTCATAGGTTTTATTTTGAAAAACTTTTTAAGTTATTTTAAATTATTGTTCGATGTGTTTTATAAAGAACCTTAATGTGTTTTAAATAAAATATTTAAGCTATGGAGAAATTATGTATTTTTTGAACATTATCTATTTGCTATCTAGTATGCTTCAAGTTTTAAGTTTTTAATTTTTAAAAAACAATTCAATTAAATAATTCATAAAATTAAAATTTTCAGACTGAAGGAGAGCTAATTCATTAATCATTATCTTAAAAAATGAAAAAATTGTTGGTTAAAGGGAAAAAAAAAAAAAAAAAAAAAGATTTAGGTGAATGAAAAACACTAGAATTAAACAAAAATAATATCAGATTACTCAATTACATGTTGAGAAATCTCCAATTGAATCATTTACAAGATAAGTTAAACATCATTAATTAAATTTAACAAATATAAACATTCTTTTGTATTTTTAAAATGGGTATTGTGTATTTTTTAATATTCAAATCGCTTATATTTATTTGTGTATTTTTGAATATATTTATTCAATTCTACACATTTTAATGTGTTTAACATGTAAAATTTTTGTAGAAATCTTTTCACAAACAAAAAAGAATGATGATAAGACCTATTACCTTCTACATGCTCCTGATAAATATAAAAATATATAAATATAGTTTTAATTTTTATAAGAACATTGTAAGGTATTTGTATATTGTCAAAATATAAAAATAAATCTTTTTTTGTAAAGTTTTCATATGAAGCAAAACTATAAAACTTGAAAATTTTATAGTTTCGCTTAAAAAATTGTTTTAAATTTTTCAGTTAATTTATTTCAATTTTTTGTTTCACTAGGCTTTATTTTACTTTCTCTAATTACATTTTTATTCTTCCACTTTTTATTCTTCTATAGTTTAGCTTGAAACTCTTAATATGTCAAAAAATGCAAACAGTCGTGGTCAAAACAAAAAATTTTATGCGTGGATAGGCAAGATAAGCAACAGTATGAGCTTCAAGAGATAATCTACCTGCAATGAAGAAGATATCATTGACCCCATATTTTTTTTGATAAGATTTTTAAGGTAATTGATAACGTTTGCTTTGACTATTTGAGAGAAATAGCTGTATGGTGAGAAATAGTTGTATGGTGAGAGAAGCAAGTATCAAAAGGATATCATCTTTTCTAATAAGATGGTGCACCAGCACAAAAAAGTGCAAAATTTCCTTAGTACTAATATTTTTGAACTTTGATCATACGAAATTAGCCTGCCTAATTTCACCACATGCAAATCCTTTAGATTTTTATGCACGGAGCATTTGTGAAAGAAAAGTTAACAAATAACAACAACAACAAAAATAACAACCAAGTTGAATTTTTTTTTTATTAATCTAAATTTTTTTTTACATCTACATCTATAATAAGGGCAAAACTATTATTCCATTTTGTTACCTGACATAAAGACAAAGCTTGATTGTTTGCTAAGAGCTTTTCATCTCATCTCTTGAATCCACTAATCACATCCTACCTGATATGGCCAACAAACCGATTAAGCCATTGCCTGAATTTCATATCACTTAAGTTTTACTATCTAAAGTGATTTTCTGCTAGGACTCTTCTACAGCTTGTGGTCCAGACAACTTACCTGTTATAGTCTTGCAAAAGCGTTCTCCAGAGCTGTCGCATATACTTAACGATTTAACGAATGCTTATCAGAATCTTATTTTCCAGTCTGCTGGAAAATAAGATTCTGATAAGCACTTGTTAAATTGTTACTCCTCTAAAAAGATAAGCACTTGTTAAATTGTGATAAGCACTTGTTAAATTGTTACTCCTCTAAAAAGACACAGTGCAAAATAATTACTGTATCGTATTCTTTTGGATTCCTAGCTTATTATTGTTTCATACTGTTTTTAAGAAACAACTTATTTTATTTTGTATCAAAAAGAACAGGTTTCTTGTTAAGAAACAAGAACTATATAAAATAAATTCTTGTAAAAATAGATTGCAAATCATCAATATATTAGCAGCAAAGATTTCTTTTAGCAGCAACTAATTAATTTTATCTTTTAACAAACTTTTTCTTGTACAAATTCTTTTTTAAAAACTTACTAAAAGTCTAAAAATATCTACTTTTCATCTGCTTGATTAAATCTTTTTTGAAACTGATTAAACTCTAAAAATGATTTAACTTCCAGTTGTACAAAAGATTTCTTATTTTTATGTAACTACTACAACAAGCTTACTACGCCAACAAGGTTACTGCGTTAACAAGGTTACTACTACAACAAGGTTACTACTACAACAAGGTTACTACTACAACAAGGTTACTATTACAACAAGGTTACTACTACAACTAGATTACTACTACAACAAGGTTACTTTGTCAGGTGTTAAGTTGGTGAATGTTAAATGTCTAATCCAAATCAAGTCAACTTATGGATTCACTAGTAGTATCAGGTACCACCTGAAAACTAAGCATTTCATTGACTACACTAAGATAAGTCCAGACTGTCCTTGAGCACTAAAAACTGAAAAAAAAAAAAAAAAAAAAACTGGGTGATACAAACCATAAGTTCTTATAGTTTTACATTTAACAAAAAAAAAATTTTTTTTGTAAAGTGTTGATTTTTATTTCAGTTTTTTAGTTCAACAAACAAAGTTTGCATCACAAAAAAGTGTCTCCAATAGTGTTAGTATGGCAAATGCTGGGAATCTTGTCAAGCAGTAAGACATTTGGAGACAGACATGGTCATCATGTCTTTTTTTGTCAGGTTTAGCAGAACATTCACTCTTATTGTAGATAAGCTTTGCTTTAAGGAAAAGGTGGAACATCCTAGAATGAATGTGTAACATTTTTTTAAGGTGCAAGCTGCCATTGCTTTATAATAGTGTAAAAAACACTGTGCAGAAGCTAATTGAAAAAAAAGTTGACAGTTGGCAACAGGCGTTCTTTACTAATAATGGTGGGATCTCTGTAGTATATGATCTACATTTTCTAATTCATCACTAAACCAGACTTGAAATAAAGAAATATGCGCTCAACTTAGAGAGCTTCAGTGTATCCAAGGAAGCTAAGCCAGAGCTGCATATCACAATATTAAATTGCTAGTTAAAAAAATGTCTTAAGAAAATTTCTTCACCAGCATTCCAGCAATAACAATTCTTGTTGAAGAACTACATAACTTGTTAAAAGACTTCTCAATTTAAAAAACTGTCCAAAAAAGTTTTATTATTTTAATTTGTTTAATCATTTCTTTGAGCAATAATTTGAGCCTCCTTAATAATTTTTTTTTTTGAAATTTAACTAGTGGTCTAGTCCTTTGATGTATATTTTTGCATTTTTTCTTTAAAATCTAGTTTTAATTGCTTTAAATTGTCGATTATTTGACCAATAATTTGAAGTAGTTAACCATAATTATCAAATATAAGAATCAATTTTGATTTTAGAATATATGCTCAGACAATACAGCATCTTAAATGTGTTCACAAAAAAATGTCAACAAAAACATTTTTGATCAATCAAAAGAGGAACTCTAAAAGAAATATAGGTTGAAGTGCCAGCTGGTGCGAATATGATGTACAAAGTCTACCATGACAATAATCAAAATGTCCTGGTAATTTAAAAAAATTTAGCATGCTTAGCCTCATGTCCAAGAAAAACCAGTTGATGCATTGTAATAATTGAAGAAACTTACATATCACCACCATTAACACAGTTAGAAAAGAGTGCACTCTAAATTCTAATTCCAAGTAGTGAGTGTTTAGTAATAACAGTGGAATTTTTAGTGATGTAAGACTTTTAGTCTAAAAAATTTTAGTGATAAGACTTTTAGTCTAAAAAATTTTAGTGATTTAAGATATCTTTTCTCTAAGTCAGCAAAGAAATTAATCTTGATTGAAGCCAATTATATCTTTATTCATTATTGCATAAACTCTACATTT